GCCCAGTTTCATCAATGAACCAAAACGGTGCGTTTGATTTAGTTATGCGCTGCGTTTTGATGCTTCAGTCTTCCCTCCGTTTTGAAATTGAATTGGAGCCACTGGATCATGCGAAGAAGTCAAGGTTTTGAGACCATCCAACGGTGGTGGCTCATCTTCTCCAAACAAACCCTAGGGTTTCATCTGAACCAGGATCCATGCACGATCCTTCAACTCAATTGTTCTCAACGATGGCTTGATGAAATCCAGCAATTCCAAAGGCAAAGTTGTACTATGACTCACCCAGAACACGATGCTATCTATAGTTTTCCCTGAAACTCCACATATCACCCTAACAGAACACTTGAAAGCTAGGGTTCCAACATGTTACTCTGCCATCAATCTTGATAAAGCTTAGTTCTAATGGTGTGATCTTGTTCCTTAGGTTACCATCATCACTCTAAACCATAACACATCAATTAATGCTCAACACACGATCCATTCTTGCAACTGAAAGAAATTGGTGTCTGCCATGGAACTTCACAAAACTCCCTCAAATTCTCAGAATGTAGTCCTCTACCCTAGCTTAACTAGTCTAAACCTAAAACTATGATGGAATGCACATAAATAAGGTGATACGATTGAAATCACCAACCTGTCAAACTTTAATGGTGGATATGGTTTCTCCCCAATTCAGTGCCTGCAAGCTTCCCTGATTGATCCTCAATGGCCAATATGAATTCTGTATGCAAGAAAATGGGTGAACACTGCTTGAATCTTGTGTTTGATCTCAATATGCACTTCTTGCAACTTCTTCAAAACAACTTCAAACCTCCATGGATCTACCTTCAATTTGGTCTGCAATTGCTCCTAGAGATCAGAGTAGTGTGTTTGTGTGGGAGAAAAGAATGGAGATGGAAGAGAAAGAGAGTTTGCTATGGAAATGCAAATGGAAGAATCTCACTTTTTCACCAACAATTATCACCACTCACCAACAATTATCACCAACCCTGGTCATATGGTGATTCACCCTTCTTATAACAATCAAGAGAATAATCTAGATCCATCTAGAAACTTGTGGAAAGTGTTAGAAAGTTTGAGAACTTCTCATGGAATGATACATTGGATATCCATTATCTCATGCCTTAGGCTTGCCAAATTGACTTTAAAATCTCCTTACAAGAGATATTGAGAAAGAATGAGTGCAAAACATGCATTTCCTTGCCTTTGGTGAAGTTTTGTTTAGTTGCCTTATTATGCAAGAATGAGAATTACAAAGTAACCCCCATTTCTAAGCTTCAAATCAAAATTCTACTTGAACCATTGTTTTTAAAATATTGTTTGGAGTCAAAATGACATATTGGATGACCCATTTTGGATTTGTACATCTCCTAAACCAAAATTAAATTTCAACTTTTTCAACTTATAAGCCATTTTTAGGTCATTTTCACCCAATCTTGTAAATCCTTGCTACAAGCTCTTTCAATAACTCATGACCACTTTTCTAGACTTAAAATCCCATTTTGAACAACTTTCATGTTTTGAGTTTTTTCATTTGAGGCTTGGAACTAGGAGATATGGCCTTTGCTTAAAATGACCTATAACTGCCAAATGACCAAAATACCCCTGTCTTGTTCAAACCATAAGTTGAGTTCTACAAATCCTATCAAGGACTTCTAGTACTATATAGAAAGCTAAGAAGATGCTCTTCAACATTCATGTTGACCAAGAAATCATAGGAATCATCCTACTAGGGCAAAAGTTGTCTGCAAGTTGGGTGACTTTCAAGGACCCAGATTCACACACCTCAGATGACCTGTAATTTGTCAACACCATAACTTGAGCTCTGCAACTCCTATAAAGGGCTTCCACCACTCAAATTAAAGCTAAGAACAAGCTCTACAACATTCATGTTGTGGGGAAGATGAGATATCAATCACATCTAAAGCTAAAACTGCCTGGAAGATAGGGATCAAATTAGGGTTTTTTCACTGACAATCCTCAGAAACCCTAACTCAAAACTTCTCAAACTCTTCAATCATGATGAGTTGGTTTAGGAATCATCTATATAACATCTCCATACATCATTCCATGATCTCATGGCCCTTGGTTTAGGTCTCAACCTTCCCCAAATCTTTAGTTATCCTAGGGTTGACCCAGTCAAAACCCTAATTCTACCATTCATGGTTGAATCTTCTAATTCTTGCACAATGACTTCTCTGGGCTTCATGATGGCTATCAAGACATCTCATACACTTTCTCAAAGCATCAAGTTCATTTTCAAAGTCTCAGAATCATCTGAGGAGCACCCACAACTCTCAAGCTATGAAGCACACAACCCTGGTTTCAACCAACTCCTCTGAGGATCTCTTGAACTTTCTAATGAAGGTATCAACTTTCAAACACTTGATGGATAAATAATTGTTGGTCAAATTTTGGGGTGCAACATTAGTCCACCGTGTAAACATACATATACTTTTGTACACTTATGTGTATACTAGATTAGTACTTTTGTAAATCAATTTGTTCATGTTGAAGAATATGTGCATCCTAGCTATTTGGTGCAATGAAACTAAAAGGTTAGTTGAAAAAATATGAAAAATTGCATACCAAATAGGGACTAAAGTATAGTATGTGTGATGTTGGAAAAATATGAAAAATTAGATACCAAAAAAATTACAAGGATTCCACATCCATTCGGATAAAAAATAGTCCAAATTTTAAAGAAAAACAGCATACATTTTACACCGGGTGCGCCTAGAAACCGATATAAAAACAAAATTTTTGAAGAAACGTAACACACCTTTTACATCGGGCCAAAAAGGAAACCGATGTAAAAAACACACCTCTGACACCTTTTACATCGGTTTTGCTGGATAACCGATGTAAAAAACACACCATGACACCTTTTACATCGGTTCAGTTGGACAACCGATGTAAAAAACACACCTATGACACCTTTTACATCGGTTCTGCTGGACAACTGATGTAAAAACTCACCTATGACACCTTTTACTATCCATATTTCACATCAGTCTTAACTGTCAACCGATGTGGTAGATGTATTTTTCACATTGATCTACGATCCGATGTAAAATATCTTTAATTTACTACATCTCTTGACTTTACATCAGACCTAGACCCGATGTAAAATGTGATTTTGCCCCGATATAAAATGTCATTTCTTCACTATACTTTCCACAATATTTACCTCAAACAAATAAACAAAACATGTAACAATAAGAAGCACAATACTACTCTTCAACAACAAAATACAGCCCTTATATATAAAATAGAAGAAACATAATTCTATCCACAATCCAAAGTTATCAGAATTCAACATAACAATCAAGTGGCTAACTTTAAACCCATTATTAAACCCCACATAAGCATCCCTACAATTATATAATTTCACATGTCGTTCTTCAAATCCCATAAATTTTTTAGGAAAAAAAGACTCAACTAAAAATAGGAGCTGGCAGCATGCAGTTGCAACTGCTACTGTATGTGCTGCGATTTGGTTTGCATTATTTTTATGGGTGCACAGGATATGGAAAGGTAGTCACTGAATGTCATTAGAATGTGTCTTCTTGGTGCTGAGGTATAGCTATTTTTATTGTTGTTCCATTTGGTTTAGTTCATGTATCCTATATTTAGTCTCTTCTTTGTTGAAAAATCGTAATGATTCACATGTATTAAATACGAAGAATCTTATATATAATTAGAAAGTATAATACCATAAATTATAAATAATTACCATATATAAAATCCTTAAATAACTCATCCTTTGCTTCAATAGGATAATTTTTCCACTTTTCAGCTGGAATAGGCATCCTCGTGATCACCCTAGATATAGTATCACGAGTCAAATTTTGAGGGACAAACATCCTCTACAAATGGGATATAAACTCATTTGATTAACTAAAATAATGTATTACAATTAATAATCATTGTAACTCTAGTTGACTAACTCACCATACACTTGCAACTACTCTCATTTAAGCATGGCTGAATTCACGATAAATTACAATTATAAGAATTTGGTGATAGAAACAATCTCTAAGAATGCGACAACAAAGAATTTATAACTCATGAGAATCTTACTGGTTAGAGACTGCCTCAACAAATATAGCTTTTCTCCTATGATGAGATCCTTCACTTGAAGGTGCTAAAGTTGAGTTATTAGCAGGTGGATCAGAAGAATGTGGGAAAGAATAAAAAATAGAGCCACATATTTTTTCAATGTTTGAAACTCCACAAGTTCCTCCAGTATATCTTCTAGCATTATTTGCATCAATTCCTTGTTTGAGTGATTTTTGTTGATTTTTTTTCTCCTGAATGAGTTGCCTCTCTTCTTCTTCACCATCATTTTCTTCACCATCATTATAGGCATAATGTTCATTAGTCCTAGCCATATAGGTTCTGTTAATGCCCTCCATATAGGTTTTGGCAACATGTAACAGAACGCCAAAGGAATCAATCTTTTCATAAAAACATGACAATCAACTTTTCATTTCATGTATTTTCCCATCTTTGACATTAATACAAAGTGAAATGTTAAATACATACCCATCAGGAAATTTCAATTGTTTGACACACCGTTTTCCTTTGATTATCACTCATCACATAAGTAGCCTTTGGTTTTTTGTGCTTCTCATTATCAACTATTAACTCAAAAGTGGGACGTTTGCATATCATCTTCATATCTTCTCTTTCATTTGCATTGTCCTTTGTCTTGCCCTTTATATCCATAATTGTGTTTAAAATGTTGTCAAACACATTCTTTTCAACATGCATAACATCCATATAATGTCGTATTAGATTAGTATACGAATACGTCAATTTCCAAAATATGCTTTTCTTCACCCAATTGTGATATTTCCTAAAGCCATTTTGTTTCTGATTTTGTGAATTCAAACCAAAAATGAAATTCTTAAGGTGATTCACTCTATTCATGATCTCTATCGTAGTAAGTCGGTGTGGTGGTAAAGACTTCTCTATTTTTTATTTTTAAATGAGTATCAATCACGATGAAACAGATGTTCAAGAGGAAGATATTGATGATGACAGTCAAAACAACAACATTTCTTACCATGCTCAAGTACAAATGACTTACTGTTCCCCATACAATATGGACATGAAAGTTTTCCATGAGTACTCCACTCACTTAACATTCCATAAGCTGGAAAGTCACTTATTGTCCACAATAATGTTGCTTTCATCTTAAAATTTTGTCTTTTGCAAACATCAAAAGTGTTCACCCCATCTTCCCACAATATCTTTAGCTCATCGATTAGAGGTCTAAGATAGACATCTAAACTTTTACCTGGTGATTTTGGTCCCGGGATCAAGTTGAAAATAAAATTAAACTTGATTTGGGCCTAAAAATATTATTTGGACTTTTGGGCTTAGTTGTTTTGGACTTAAGTAATTTTAATTAATGTTTCTAGAATACTCTTGTAATGTTTGGAGTGTCTAGATATTTCTTAAGGTTGTAGTATTCTCTAGAATACTCTTGGAATTCCTAGAGTTGAGAACTCTCTAGAATTAGTGTGTCTAGAGTTCTCCTTAGAGTACTATAAATAGAGATGTAATTCTACACTTTTGCATCAAGCAAAATACAAAGTTCTCTCTTCCATAAATAATTCTTCCACCTACCAAGTTTCTCTTTAAGCCTCTAATATTCCCACACATTTTTTCTAAACACAAAAGGTCTTATTTCCAACAAAGTGGCATCAGAGCTTGAAGGTCCTCAAAAGATGGCGAATGGAGGTTTCCCTTTTCAAATTCCGATACTCACAAAGAACAACTATGACAATTGGAGTATCAAGATGAAGGCGCTACTAGGAGCTCAAGATGTGTGGGATATTGTTGAGAAAGGCTTCAAGGAGCAAGATGAAGCCTCCTTAAGCCAAGGTGTAAATGATACATTAAAGGAGTCAAGAAAGAGAGACAAGAAAGCTCTCTTTCTCATTTATCAATCGGTGGATGAAGATACATTTGAGAAGATCTCCAATGCAACGACGGCGAAAGAAGCATGGGACAAGCTTCAAACTTGCAACAAAGGAGTGGAACAGGTGAAAAAGATTCGTCTTCAAACTCTTAGAGGTGAGTTTGAACGTTTATTTATGGAAGAGTCTGAGTCAATTTCTGATTATTTTTCTCGAGTATTGTCCGTAGTCAATCAACTTAAAAGAAATGGTGAAGATGTTGATGAGGTGAAAGTCATGGAGAAAATACTTCGCACTTTAAATCCAAGTTTTGACTTCATTGTTACCAACATTGAAGAAAATAAGGATTTAAACACCATGACTATTGAGCAACTTATGGGTTCCTTACAAGCATACGAAGAAAAACAAAAGAGAAAAATCAAACAAAAGGAAAATATGGAGCAACTACTACAACTCAATGCAAAAGAAGCAAACTATGCAAATTACAACAGTCAAAGAGGACGAGGTCGTGGCCAAGGTCGTGGACGTGGCCGTGGACGAGGACATGAAGGAGAAAGAAGAGGTAGTTACAACAACTACTCCAACAACTTCAACAATGGAGAAAGAAGTTGGAATCCACAAGCAACAAGAGGTCGTGGAAATGGAAATTCATGGTCAAGATGCAACAAGCTACAAATCAAGTGTTTCAATTGCAACAAAATTGGTCACTATGCATCTGAGTGTAAATTCTCAAAGAAGGTGGTGGAGAGAGCTAATTTTGTAGAAGAAAAAGGTGGAGAAGAAGAAACTTTGCTGCTTGCGTGCCAAAACCAATTTGAAGAGAAAAGAAACAAGTGGTACCTCGACACCGGTGCAAGCAACCACATGTGCGGCGATCGAAACATGTTCATAGAGATCAATGAAGCGACAACTGGAAATGTCTCATTTGGAGATGACTCAAAGATACCGGTCAAAGGCAAAGGTAAAATTCTCATACGCTTAAAGAATGGGAGTCATCAATTCATATCCAATGTCTACTATGTTCCTAACATGAAAAATAATATTTTGAGCTTGGGACAATTATTGGAGAAAGGATATGACATCCACTTGAAAGAACATAGTCTTTTCTTAAGAGATTGTGGGCATAACTTGATTGCTAAGGTGCCTATGTCAAAGAATAGAATGTTCCTCTTGAACATTCAAAATGATGTGGCAAAGTGTCTCAAGGCTTGCTATACCGACTCTTCATGGCTATGGCATCTACGATTTGGACACCTCAACTTCGGTAGTCTAGAATGTTTGTCAAAGAAGGAGATGGTGAGAGGCTTGCCTAGTATAAACCACCCAGACCAACTATGTGAAGGATGTCTAATTGGGAAGCAATTTCGGAAAAGCTTTCCAAAGGAATCAACATCAAGAGCGACAAAATCACTAGAGCTCATACACACTGATGTCTGTGGACCAATCAATCCAAACTCTTTTGGTAAGAATAAATACTTTCTCCTATTTATTGATGATTATTCTAGAAAAACATGGGTTTATTTCTTGAAGGAGAAATCAGAAGTGTTTGAAAACTTTAAGAAGTTCAAAGCCCTTGTGGAGAAAGAAAGTGGTCTTTCTATTAAGGCTATGAGATCTGACCGAGGAGGAGAGTTTACTTCAAATGAGTTCAACAAATATTGTGAAGAGCATGGAATACGCCGCTTACTAACAGTGCCAAGATCGCCACAACAAAATGGAGTAGTGGAGAGAAAGAACCGGACCATACTTAATATGGTGCGAAGCATGCTTAAGAGTAAGAAGATGCCGAAAGAGTTTTGGGCCGAAGCAGTGGCATGTGCGGTTTACCTGACAAACCGTTCCCCAACAAGAAGTGTGCATGAGAAAACACCACAAGAAGCATGGAGTGGAAGGAAGCCAGGGATCTCTCACCTCAAAGTGTTTGGAAGCATTGCATATACCCACGTTCCAGATGAAAGGAGAACAAAGCTCGATGATAAAAGTGAGAAGTATGTATTCGTGGGTTATGACTCAAGCTCCAAAGGGTACAAGCTCTATAATCCAAATAGCGGAAAGATTGTCATAAGTCGTGATGTGGAGTTCGAAGAAGAAGATTGTTGGGGTTGGAATGTTCAAGAAGACAGGTATGATTTTCTTCCTTATTTTGAAGAAGAAGATGATGAAATGGAACAACCAATGATAGATGAACATATTACACCACCTGCCTCACCGACACCAAGGTTGGATGAAACAAGCTCAAGTGAGAGGACACCACGATTAAGGAGCATTGAAGAGCTTTATGAGGTAACCGAAAACCAAAATGACATTAACCTCTTTTGTCTTTTTGGTGATTGTGAGCCTCTAAGCTACCAAGAAGCTGTTGAAAACATAAAGTGGAAAAACGCCATGGATGAAGAAATAAAGTCAATAACGAAGAATGATACGTGGGAACTTACTACACTTCCACGAGGACACAAAGCAATCGGAGTAAAATGAGTGTACAAGGCGAAGAAGAATGCAAAAGGAGATGTGGAGAGATACAAAGCAAGACTGGTGGCAAAAGGCTATAGTCAAAGACAAGGAATTGACTATGATGAGGTATTTGCCCCCGTTGCTCGTCTTGAAACTATTAGACTAATCATTTCTTTGGCAGCCCAAAATGAATGGAAGATCTATCAAATGGATGTGAAGTCTGCCTTTTTGAATGATTTTCTCGAAGAAGAAGTTTATATTGAGCAACCACAAGGATATGAAGTAAAAGGGCAAGCAGAAAAAGTCCTCAAGTTGAAAAAGGCGTTGTACGGACTCAAGCAAGCACCGAGAGCTTGGAATGTTCGAGTCGACAAGTACTTTCGAGATAAGAACTTCATCAAGTGTCCATATGAGCATGCACTCTATATTAAAGCGCAAAGTGGAGATATTTTGATTGTATGCTTATATGTTGATGACTTGATCTTCACTGGCAACAATCTAAGCATGTTCGAAGAGTTCAAGAAAGACATGTCAAATGAATTTGAGATGACAGATATGGGGCTCATGGCATATTATCTTGGCATTGAAGTAAAGCAAGAAGGCAAAGGAATTTTTATCACCCAAGAAGGCTATGCAAAAGAAGTCCTTAAGAAGTTCAAGATGGATGATGCGAATCCGGTTGGCACCCCGATGGAATGTGGGAGCAAGTTGAGTAAGCATGAAAATGGAAAGATTGTGGATCCAACTCTTTATAAAAGTTTGATTGGAAGTCTACGTTACTTGACAAGTACAAGGCCAGATATTCTCTATGCTGTAGGAGTTGTAAGTCGTTACATGGAAGCTCCAACAACAACTCACTTCAAGGCGGCAAAGAGAATCCTTCGATATATCAAAGGTACAACAAACTTTGGCTTACACTATTACTCTTCTAACAATTATGAAATTGTTGGCTATAGTGATAGCGATTGGAGTGGAGACGTGGATGATAGAAAGAGCACTACTGGTTTTGTGTTCTTTATGGGAGATACTGCTTTCACTTGGATGTCAAAGAAACAACCTATTGTCACACTGTCAACTTGTGAAGCCGAATATGTTGCCGCTACATCATGTGTTTGCCATGCAATTTGGCTAAGGAACTTGTTGAAAGAGTTAAAAATGCCACAAGAACATCCTATGAAAATATGTGTTGACAATAAATCAGCACTTGCTTTGGCAAAGAATCCTGTATTTCATGACAGAAGTAAACACATCGACACACGTTACCACTTTATAAGAGAATGCATCGAGAAGAAGGATGTGAAGTTGAAGTATGTGATGTCTCGAGATCAAGCTGCCGACATTTTCACCAAACCACTAAAGTTGGAAACTTTCATAAAGCTAAGGAGTATGCTTGGAGTCACAAATCAAGTTTAAGGGGGATGTTGAAAATAAAATTAAACTTGATTTGGGCCTAAAAATATTATTTGGACTTTTGGGCTTAGTTGTTTTGGACTTAAGTAATTTTAATTAATGTTTCTAGAATACTCTTGTAATGTTTGGAGTGTCTAGATATTTCTTAAGGTTGTAGTATTCTCTAGAATACTCTTGGAATTCCTAGAGTTGAGAACTCTCTAGAATTAGTGTGTCTAGAGTTCTCCTTAGAGTACTATAAATAGAGATGTAATTCTACACTTTTGCATCAAGCAAAATACAAAGTTCTCTCTTCCATAAATAATTCTTCCACCTACCAAGTTTCTCTTTAAGCCTCTAATATTCCCACACATTTTTTCTAAACACAAAAGGTCTTATTTCCAACAAAGTGGCATCAGAGCTTGAAGGTC